CAAAGGCGCCAGTTGGAACCCCTCTGGCATTTTAGGCTTCTTGCGAATCCGCGTCGCTCGCTGTGTGCCTTCGTGTTCCATTTGATCCTCCTGCGAGCTAGTACTTCCAGAACGCGCTCGTTTTTGTGTCTCTCCTGATGGCTCCTGTCTATCTTCCTCCTCTTCCTCCTCCCTCCTCCTCCTTCTCTCCTTCCTTCTCTTCAATATCGCTAATTGGATCCAATGCTGGAAGAGGGGCTATTGATCCTCTGTCTTGTTCAATCATCGCTGCCTCACCCGCTAGTACAAGCTCTTTTGTAAAGTCAATCTCTCTCTGTTCAACCTCGAATTTTACAGCACACGATTGCAGCATCAACTCCTTGATAGTATCAGCGTTAAGGCGGCCCCGTCTGTAGTGACAAATATCTCGAGCACAGTTAAAAAGACGCTCAACACCTGCGCCACTCGCAGGAATTGAAAGAATATCCCGGGCTAGAGCAGCCAGCACTGGGAACTCTTTTTGATGCTCCTTCCAGAATAAACGGGGCTGTTGTGAAATAAGGCCTAGATAAAATTAGTATCTGAGATAGGCAGACAGGCAATTAGACTTACCTTTTGCAAGATATCGAGCCAGTTCATCATCATCCTCCTCTGCTGGTACTTCTGCTGCATAAAATGAAGTCTGTGAGTCACACAGCATCTCAATCTCATTAATATCACTGGAGTTCTGCTGGACATTAGAGGATGATTCTTCAGCCTGATCTGAAAATCGCCGTTTGTATCGCCAGAACTCTTTTTCAAGACGCCCACGATATCTTGCACCAAAATCAATATCCCCTTGCCAATCTTTTGAGGTAAAGAATCGAAGTTTCTTTGATGGGGCAAGAATGGTAGCAATACCATAAAGATCCCCATAAAACTCCTTATCAGTTGCTTGATAATACTCAGAAAGCTTTTCCCTTGCCGCCTGCAATGCCCTCAGCATTGATTTCTTCCATGGGAGTCTCTTTCGGCGAAGCTGGTTCTCGGAGTTCTCCAGGTGATTGAAAAGCTTATTGTAAACACCAAAGATAAGATGGATTGTGGTGTCTTTTGTTTTTGAGAGAGCAGTTGTGAACTTGAAGAATGGCTCAGTGATACACAGTAAGTAGTCGATCTGACGCCATTCTTCTTTGTCAAGCTGAAAATGGAGATAGCCGTGTGCTGTACAGTATTCTTGAAAGCTCTTCTGTAGTCGCTTGGCTCGGCCGAGCATCAGAAATGTAGAATTCCATCGAGTCCGTACATCTTGAAGAGGAAGCAGTCGAGGCTCCTGGGACTGGATTACAAGAAATGCAGCTCGGCGCTGAGGACTTGCATTAATAAAGATAGCAAGATTTCGGATCTACAGATAACTATTATTAGCTGTTATCCTCTCTCTCTCTCTTTTTGCTGAATCATCACATACCTTGTTCAATGTCTGGATAATCTCTCTCTTTGATTGCTGAGAACGCGCCTGGCGCTCACGGTCATCTGACCATCCATCCTCTGCCTCATTATTGGATGGCATTGCTTTTATTTTTCCGAGAAGTTGATTCAGACTCAGTTGGATCACATGGGCCAGGCATGGAACACGAAATATACCATTACCAAGCCCGTCACTTCCAACACCCTGACTTTTGAGCTCATCCTGAATACTGAGCATCATTGTATTGTTATTGGTAGCATTATCAGTTGTTACTGACAGAACCCGATCGGCAATTTTATACTTTTCGAGAATACCAATAACTACTGAGCTTAGGTTACTCCCAGTATGTGAGCCTTGTAAGGGTTCAAAGCCAAGTAGAGCCTCTCGATACTCCCAATCGTTATCCAGAAAATAACCAGTAATAGCCATAAAGCCCTGCTGGAAAGGTGATGTCCAGCAATCAAGTGATAGAGATAGTCTACTATCCTCTGGGAGCATATCTATTATACTCTGTTGTCCTTGTTGGATATTCGAGTGTAGTTGTCGGCTAATCGTCCGGGGCGAGGGTAGTTTGACCCGTGAGGGAGCAACAGCAATTAGATCAGCTAATTCCTGGAATTCTGGACGATCAAGGATACGGAATGGGAGCCGTGCGACGAGGATAAGAGAAAGGACTTTCTGGGCAAGCGCTTCTTCAGAGAAAGTAGTTAAAGTTGCTCTTGAAGTTTGTGACTACAAATTATAAGTTATTAGCTAAAAGCAGTATCTTAAAGAGAGTATATATACTTACCTGCTTCGCAAGTAACTTGCCAATCCCATGCTTTGGATGACAGGTATTCCCTTTCAGATGTGTGTTCATTGGTGATGTTCCTCCACGCCGAATATTTGGATGAGTAAGTGTAGTAAGGCAACGCTTACACATAACTTTAGGCTCTCCTGTCCGTTCATGAGCTACTTGCTCAAAGTGATCCCAGACTGAAGCTCTCTTTTTGTGGTCCCAATGAATGGTGGTCTCGATGTCTTTTCTTGTGCCATACTCTGTTTGAAGCCACCACTCAGTGAAATCCTTCCGAGTTTGGCCTGTTGCGGGGTCCATTTCTACAAGGATCCAAAATCGCTGAAGATGTGGCCCAGTACGTGTAAGGAATAAGGGCGCTCGCGGTAATTGCAGTTGTTGAGAGCAAATGGATGGTGTAATTGACTCGGTGGCAGTACGACAATATGTATTGAGTGATGGTAGGTCATCTGGTAGGAGAAAGTCAGTATCAGAATGCTGATCGGTGAAGACTGATGAAGTATAGGCCATCTTTGGCTATGGTCTTAAGAGCCAATATGTGTAAATGAGAGACAAACAACTTACAAGATTCGACGAGAGGACCACAAACACCAGACGCGACCGAGGACATTGATGAGTTGCAAAAGCAATTATAGAGTGGAGTCAAAGATATACTCTAATTGGATATTAGAGCTACTAATGCGGTTATCCTGCGGTTAACCGCAAAGACCCCTCACAATAACCGCACTAAGATTACCGAAAACCGCAAAAACCGCAAGATAACCGCAAGATAACCGCAAAATACCCCTGAAAACCGCAAAAACCACAGGATAACCACAAGGTAACCGCAGCACGACCGCAAGATAACCATTTATCACTGCAACTTTGCACTTTTAGGACACACTTTTTTAACACTTTTATATTGTAATACTAGATTAAAAATTATTAGGGATAGGTAAAAAAAACTAGCTCTTTTACAACATATGATCAAAATTCAGAATACTTAAAAATTAGTCAAGTTAGGCTTTTCATGTTCTACTGACCTAAAGATGCAGCATAATCTCTCTAAGTCAAATATATATTTCTGCGATAACTATACTCGATTACAAAAACTAATCACAACACACAGTAAATCTCGCCAACAATATCCAAAATCCAACTTCGAACTTGAATTTTTTGTAGACTAATATTTTATCTTTTAGAATACCGCTCTATTTCAAATTATTTCCAACAGAAAGTAAGAAAAATAAATGATTACAGTAGTAATAACGAAACCATATGTAAGAATGCATTATTTGAGCTTAGTTATCAGGTGTATAAAAACGGTGGGGTGGCTTAGATAGGTAAGATCTTCATCTTTTATGCTAGTGCGGTTAACCGCAAGGTAACCGCATTGCGGTTTTGGTTAACCGTAAAATTTGCGGTTAGGTTTTGGTAAAGATCTTAGAACCGCAAACCGAATCGATTTGGGTTTGGTAAAGATATGAAAGCCGCAGACCAAATCGATTTGGGTTTGGTTAGCATTTGAAGACCAAACCCAAAACCGTGCCGCAGTCTACATGGAAATAACCAAAGATCGCGTCAGGATTGACTGCGGTATCAATTCCAATAGCTTCAAAGAAGGCACGCGGAAGCTGATGACCAGTAAAATAGGCAAACGTAGTATAATCTACCATCTTGGAGATTCAGAGATATAGAAACAAAGATAGATATGAAGTTTGATCAATATAGATGCGAGGTTTGATGAAGATAGAGTTGAGAGAGTTATGTAGAAGACATAGAGATGGTGTTGCATATATATTGCGGTATCCTTTGTTTACATTCACTCGTGCCTTCCATTTCATTCATTCATTGACAGTGAATAGAAGGCACATAGTAGCAGTGAATGGAAGGAGCATCACTACTACCTATGCTCCTGCCATACATATGAATAGGGTATCAAATTGATATGCGATCTAGATACGCAAAATATGGGTATAGCGTATAATCGATATGTATAGACTAGTAAAATTAGCGCGATAGCGGACGACCAATAGGAGATCGGGTTTTTAACCCACCAGAGGTCAAAATTTTTGACCTCCGCTACGAATCGGTTAGCAGCGAAGGTCAAAACCTGGAAAATCAATAATCCGGGCCCACTTTTTGACCCACAAAAAAGTCACGCGTTTTTTGACCTTCGCCTGACTGTATCCCGCGAAGGTTCACTTTAAATGCAAGCCTTTCTGGGATCGACTTCGCCCCACTGAGCTATCGGGATGTGGACTCGAAACAATCTAAGATTCAAATACGGTAGAGAATATATATAGATTTAGAACTTACCGAATTTTGAAAGTAATCGTACGGAAAAAATTACTTGCAGTCAGGTTAGGAAAATCACTTGCAGTCAGGGTGGTAGGGCGAATTCTGCCCATACTTAAGAAATCCTGACCGCCCTGCAGTCAGGCCCGCTATACCAGGTCCCTTAGGTTAGGGGTAGTACTTAAGTTAAAAATGAACTGAATTCTATCCTATGACTATAATATGAGAGATTAGCTAATATCATATATTTCTGCAATTGCTAATTTAGCTGATAACTATGCATGGTCTGTAGTACAGATAAGCTATCCTAGTTCCCACATGAAAAATACCACATTGATCTGTTTTAATATTTAAATAGATCCATGTAAGTGGTGGAACGAGACGTTATACTTGATGGATTGCTCACGAAATACAGGATCAAAACTTAAGAGGGCTTAGTTGATGTAATATCCCTAGGAAAGATTCTGGTCCTGCTATCAAATGTTTTCCTCAGAAATCAAATCATTCACTATCATCCTGTGGACCGTCAATGCCGTTCGGATGTTTCGCAATAAGCCTCAGCATTTCCTCCCGAACCCTAAAAGTGATCAGCCTGAATTAACTACGTATATGACGGGGCTGTATGCTTTTACCATCCACGAAGAAATGCCCGGTGGTCATGAAGACCAGCGTTAATAAGGTTATCATGCCTGAATAACGTTAGTGGGCAAATTCGCGTGTAAAACCCTCATCGATCCAGAAGAGACCTACATGGCATATAGCGCGTGTCGATCATCAAAGTCCTCTACCGGCTCTGAAGGACGTATGACCTCCCTGTATCTATCGACATGCTCGCCTGTGAACCGATATCTCGGCTCCCTCATCATACCTAGATCGACTTGAGTCTCATCAGTCACGGTCTATAATGATGCAAGGTAGACGAGTAGTTAACTTACATTCATTGTGGGCATAACAGCAACAGGAGTCAAAGAGTACGAGTTGTTGAGTGACCATATCAATCTGCGCGTTGCCTTGCCAGAGGTCACCATGAACGAGGCTAGGTTTTATGCTTCTTCCACCAGTTTCAAGGGGTCGCAATAGCCTTGGGATGACTTTCTGAAAGAACTCGTCTGCAATCGCATCGAATTCCGGATCTGGTCCCCGAATACCTTGTTCCCACTTGATATCCGATCTAAGCTGGCGAGAAAAATATTCTTCCCATGTGTCGCACCAGTCATTGACAATAGGCACCACGCCATTGAAGGTCATTACATGGAAACCGAACTTGCCATTCGGAGAGACAGAATTATTGTGCAACTTCTCCAGGGCATCCACCAGCTGCGCTGGGGTGGCGGTTTTCTCACTCAGGTTGCGAAAGATTGCCAAAAAGAAAGATGCCGAGGGGTCATTTTCGAGAGTCCCATATGCCAAAGGTACAACGACATTATCAGGGATGTACTTTGCTAACTCCATCTGACTCTCATATTCCCCCAGGGCCATTTCTTGATGATTATGTCTGTCAAGAATCTGCCAATGACCCATCAGTGACACGATGCTTTGAGGCTATAAGGGTTTTGACCTTGAGAAAATACTCCTTTTCTTCACCGTGAACCCCTACATCAACCTTATATCCGGCAGACCAACTACCCTTCCCATGCGGATTGACTGAAAGAATTGTACATCCCACCGGCAACGCTGCGAGGCGAATTTTAATCAATGTCAGAGTCAAATGGGTTTGCTCAAGGCGTTTGAGATGAGCATACCTTTAAATATCGATGGATCCAAGGATTCGTCCATTTTTTGGTGCTCGATCTTGTTATTAAACTGGCGATAGCGATGTGGAACTACGTGTAACAGAAGGAACAAGAGGAGAAAGTGGGAAAATAGAAAAAAGGGGCTGAAACGAGTCATGGAGGGGACTAACGGTAGTAAGGTATTAATACATAGCGCCGGTATCAAAGTACCCTGTCCAAATACTGGATCTGATTGGCGCATTTTTGATGCGCATGACCGGCACAAGTAATACGCACTATTCTCAGAATAACCCAGGCGAATGGACCAGGGCTTACAGACCTAGCGACGCGCGTAGACCGCAGAAAATCCTAAGCATGTATCCCATGGGCTGCCAAGCCCTTGATTTTTAAACAGACTAAAATAGGCGGGGTGAGGCGGGGGTAATCAATTCCTCCTTCCCGTTGCGCCCCAGAAAGCGACGAGGAAAGCTATTGACAGAGCCCAAAGACACTTCAGGTAATATTTTCCATTTCCTAATGCGATAGATGAGATGAATAATTATGGGCTAGTCTGACCTTTGTAGCAACCTTGGATTACAACGACGCTGTAATGCTTGAAAGTACCTCTAAAACATTCAACGGACCAGATGGCCCCATGAGGATAGCCTTCAGCGAGGCAACGGTTGAACAGCGAGTCCAGTGCGCAAAGCTGGCCGCAGCGCCCTTTGGAAGCCCTCTCTCTGAGGCAGAATACCTAGAACGAGACGAATTCTTAGGCCAGCAGCTACTCGCTCACAATAACGGGTGGCGGTGCTGGTGTCTCTTCCGGGTGGACAGCCCTAATCAAATTTTCGCAACTTGCAAAACATTACGGAGGGATTTTGTCGTCCGCGATGCCAATGGAGCACGAAAACAGCCGGGGTTTTGTTTATCAAGTGTCGTCACTGATTCCAGATACAGACGACAAGGTCTCGCGTCTCTACTGTTAACACGATTGGCCGAATGGTTGGATGGGCCAGGCAATGCCACCGTGAGTATGCTATACACAAGCATTGGTAATGTGTGGATCCATCAAGAAATCTAACCATTGTGTATTTCCACATTTCCCTAACAGACTTGACAGTTCTATGTGGATAGAGGTTGGAAAATGCAACGCTCTTTTCAATCTACGCTAACGTGCCCTCATGTCGGATCAAATGACTTTTTGGCTTTACCTATTACTCGAGCTCTCACAAAAAAGGATATGTCAAGTCTTTGTGAGCGTGACGTGGCGAATACCATGGCTAAATTTGAGAAGCTCGAAGTTGGCTCAAATGAGACCCATATAGCCGTGGTCCCTACAGAAGAAATAATAAGTTGGCTCCATGGTCGAGCTGCTTTCACTTGCGCGAAGATCTACGGCCAGGCTCCACAGAGCCATGGAAGACTTTGCGAAAGCGCAGATGTGTGGCTTTATTGGTTCCACGACTTTAGGAAACGGCAGCTAGCAGTACAAAGAGTAGGGGGCAATATAGAGAAGAGTGGGTTACAGAAAAGGGCTGCTGCCAAACTTCTCCTTGACGCTTTGGAAGAAGCCTCTAGGTTTAATCTACCTAAGGTTGTTGTCTGGGATCCTAGCCATGGACTTGAATCTGCGATGGATATCCTGGAACAGGGATTTAGCGTCGAGGTGAAAACTGAAGAGCGAATTGGTAGAAGTATTCCTTCAGTGCGGTGGAAGTGCTCCAATGAGCCAGAAGATACTGTGCTTCAACTGAATGAGTTTTATGCCTGGAGTTGATCGATTATATTGAGCTGAGAAAATACGTCGTGCATCCAATTATGTATCAATCAATCTCAAGGGATTTTATTTTGATCCATGGTGTCTCCTTTCGAATTTAATATTGTGATGCTGGGTATTCCACTAAAGAGCTAGGAGAATTTAGGGGAAACTGATATGGTAACAACGACGATAGATTATGCATGAAGCTTAGTATCTGCTGCCCAGGTGGCAGCTAGAATCCCGAGAGCAAAGATTTGATTTGAGAATCTTATGTACATAGAATGAAACAATCACGTGTCCAACTCCATGGCCCGGTAGAGGTGTAGGTGGACGATTTCGATAAAGGCCAGGGTACATATCTCTAGGAGAGACAGGAGATGGAAGCACGAGCAGTGCTTCCATCCAGGGGATGATGATAGATCATAGATGCAGGAAGAGATATGAAGATAGTGGAGGAGCAAAGGCTCTGAGAGCTCTAGGTAACTATAGGCCACAGGAAAGAGAGATCCCCGCCAAGTCCAGGGGGGGGTGACGAGACTCAAGTCATCCAGATGTCGAAGGTTCCGTATGACCATGAACTACATGTCAAGGAGACATAGTATATCTGTCTAGATGGATAATGCCAAAATCCGTCGGTTTGACCGACTAGATAGGTATCTGGTCGGATCCCTACAAACGGCCAACCCAGATTCGTCAGAGGCCCCATTCAGAAGGTTTCTCCACGTGTACCGAGTAAATAGATGGAGAGAACTCGAGTCATCCCTGGGTCACTCGACAGTTTTCAGCTTTCCAAAGTTGAGGCCGTTTTTTATCACCGCCAGTTTGTTGTGCAGAGGGAAGACAAAGTTGTCGTTGACCGTTTGCAAAGGTGGGACGTCATTGCTGTTAGTGATAAACTCACTTGGCACGAAAAAGTGCTGAGTATAGTGTGAGGCCTCAAGTGTGAGCAAATTGATAGAGGATACCCAACAGTTTCGGTGCAGGAAAACGAGCCTTTGATCTGCGCAGGTGACCCCAAGGAATTGCATACACAAGTCTGGTGTCAGTATCCGTAGAGGCTGGATACGGGTAGCCGGCTTGTTGTTGCGCATATGAGCAAGTTTGAAAATGAAGACCGAAGAAGTGATCGTATATCCACTTTGTTGGCGGATGTTCAAGATCAGGGTTCTTGTCTGTTCATGGAATACCACTGAATCAATTCCAATCTCAACAAGCTCTCCTGTAGTTGTGTAACTGAGCATTATCTGGGTGTCATCAACCTCTTTAGGAAAGAATTCGGCGGAGTAAGTCACCAATTTGCGGTTCGATAGCAATGTAAACCGATTGACATATTTAGGATCTGGTAGAACAGTCCATTTCCAAACTTCTCTTCTAGTGCCAAAGGGGAGAACACCGACCAAATTTCCTGTCAAAACTTCGTATACGTAGTCCGAGCTCATGGTTGAGACAAGAAGATGATCTCCTCCCTGATCGAAGAGCATTTGACAAATTGAGGAACTTATTTGGACCCGTAATAAGAGCTTCTCGGCCCTCATTTCAGGAAGTTGCGATTTATCCAAGCGCCAGGCTTGAACTATGCCGTTGACATCGCCAGACGCAATCACATTGGCCTTTGTCACCGCAAGGAATTTGACAATAGTATTCCTATGAGAGTATAAGATGCCAATCTCGTGGCCGTCGTCACGGTTGAAAAGCGTCACATCTCCATTGTGGTTTCCAGCAAATACAGCTGAGTACACATCATGTGCAACCACTGATCTTATCTTGGAGCCCTGAAAGCTTTCGAAGTGGCCTTGGGCAACAGGTAGCACAGCAGCCTGATCGCTCATGCTGGCCTCCTCTTCGACAGACCTTCTTACCAGGGCGGGCGGTGACCATACTCTCATCTCGCGTTGAGTGGCGTCGACAAAGCTCAAGGTATCAGATGTGAATTTTAGAACTCGAAATGATTGTTTTGGCGTGAGTACATGGTACAGGGGTGTAAGTGTCTCAAAATCCCAGATCTGAAGGTTCCCAAGAACGTCGACTGTTCCAAATGTCCGCCCATCTTGAGAACATGATAGTGAAATGCAGATTGCGTTTGTGATAGATGACTGCACAGCGACGAGCTCGCCCGTCCACATATTATAGAGACACAAATCAGACTCATCGTAAGCGACAAGAAGAAGGTTGATTTCCGGGTTAGGATTGAAGGCAAGCTGGGCCACTCTCCGAGAATTTGGCTCAACCGCCCAAGCAATCCAGCTTCCTGTTTGCAATTCATATATGCATATTGGTCCAGCCCGGTAAGCAAGGGCAAGGAGTTCGAGGCCAGGTGAAACAGAGGCCGCGAATGGCGCTTGACTCAAATCCGATCGCACTGCGGAATTATTTTCGAACTGTCGATACTTGTATTGATGCTCCTCAAGCTGATCTCCAGTAGCTATATCCCACATGAAACCACGCCCCGATGTCGTTATTCCAAGTATGAATTTTGGAGTAGAAGTGAGCAAAATGCAACGGCTTCTCAATCGTCTCTTCCACAGAAGGTTTCCCTTAAGGTCCCAAATTGTGAGAAATTTTGTGCTTGTGGACGCAACAAATGATCCGAAGGGGTCGAGCAATAAGAGGTCAGCAGAAGAGTCGTTTCTGATTGTTAGCTCTTTCTGGCAGCTACTCTTGTTATACAAATGAATTTTTCCTGACTCAAACCCGACAGCAATAAAGCCATTACCACAGGTCATAGTGGATGCACTCTCGTTTTCAAAGTTGACAGTGGCGGCACAGTCATCCCAACTCGTGTTGTTGAAACCTGAGCATTTGAGGCCATCTGAATTTTGACCGAGTTGCTGATACACTGCTGTTTCCGTAGGACATAGCGGAGGTATCAGAAAGTAGATGGAATGAGGTTGCATTATTAGCGCTCTGCCAAATTTGATCACTAGTCGGCTGAGGTCGGTAGTCCAGCTGTCGAGAAGCTTAACATGTTGGTTCAGCGGCGAGCAGTACTTGGCCCTCCGGTCGAGGTATCCTCGAAGATTTCGTGCAACACGAATCAGTCGATGTAAAATGTTTTTTGATACGATTCTCTCAATCCAGCTCAGAATAGTTCTCTTAAAAAATCTTGTCAACGCCTCGAGAAGTTTGTCACTTTCCGAGCATGAAGCATAGACGTGTTCAGAGAACTCTGCGATGGCATAATCAAGAAGAGCGGATGCTTGTTCGTTTGGAAGCCTCTGTGTCACTAAACTTCTATGCTTCGGAGGCTGCATACTGGGACTGACGAGTAGTTGCAAGCAAGTCAAGGCTATTCGCTCATGAGACTCAGAGCTCGAGATCTTGAACTCCCCTGCATCATCTGAGAACAAGAAGTCTCTTGCAGTCGCATGGACTACATGGACAAGGTCTGTATGCTCCTCGACATAGACCAAATTTCCACATAATCCATCAATGGCAGCTCTAGCACTATGAATCTGGTCCTTGATGTCCAATTTTAATGCCTCAGAAAGCTCGCTAATCGACAGAGGCCGGGCAGCTGACAATGCCCATGATAGAATGCCCTTAGCAACGTGTTTTTCTCGTTTGTTTTGCGCCATGTCGGTGACTGTCCTGGAGTAATACAATATCATGCCTGCGGGTATTTCTTCAAGAACAGACATGATGCCCTCATACCCGTAAACGTGCTCAAGTTCGTCCATCACAAGTCGGACCCATAGAAATGAGGCATTTGCTTTGGACAGAATCTTTTCTTTAATTTTCTGCCTTTCCATAATGCTGTCGATAGGGAGATAGTCCATCCGATTTTGCACAAAAAATTCGATATCTCTCATGGTGTCTGGCAATGGTATCTCAACAATGGACACTGTACAGTTCTTTAGTTGAGAGACCAACTTTTTCATGTTCCAGAGCTTTCGACTAGTGATGAAGATTCGGAGTGGGAACCGGAGCGAGTTGCACCCAAGAAGGTGAACATCTCGGTGTAATCAAGGCATTCGTCTGCTGCATCAATGATCCAGTACTGGGGGGTATGAAGAGACGTCTGGTAGATACTTGTTAATCAAGACTCCAAAGTAAATAGACTCATAGACTGCAAAGAGTTAAAAGAAAATGGGGACAGACCTGTAAAATGCTACCTTTGAAGATCTCTGACCAAACAGCACAAGGGTCATCCAGATCATATGAAATACCTTCACCCTGAAGCTTCATCATTGCGTCAAGGATAGCCGGGTTGTAGGTGGACATCTGAAAGGCTATTGACCGAAATAATCCAGCTAAAGACTGTGACACCTTTTTTCCAGCATGAAAATAATAGACAGCATGATGAATACCAGATTCTTTGAGTTGTGAAGAGACATGTGCCGCGAGGACTGTTTTGCCCACCCCAGGGCCAGCATGAATCCAGTATACCTGCGGCTTCAAATTTATCTCCTGGGCCAAATGGAGCACATAGGGTGCATTCCTCCATATTCCAAAATCCTCCCGCTCATCGATCCATCGACAGGATCCTTCTAGCTTCTCATGGCGCTCGTCGGGGAGACTGGATACTCCCAGGAAGGATTGGATCGAACGTAGCTGGGCCTTGGAGTCTTCTTCAGCGATGGGCGTCACCACATTTGCGCCCATCAGCCTCTCTACAGCATCTGGCCTTGTTCAATAAAACGCCACTCCACTTCGGATTTCTCATGGCCTTACCTCCATCAAGACTGAACTGAGCATTTATTGTCCCATTATTTATTCCTGTCTGCAATCCGGAATTTGCATCACCAAAGGGGACTTTGGTAGCCATGACCTTGGGGGATTTGAAAATCCATGAGTGTAGAAGGGGTGGGGGTGGGGGTGGGTTGGCAGCATAAGCGACGTGCCAACATACACAATACCATTATTTTAATCACAACTGTGATTAATCCGGCCCTAAAGGGCTAGCTGCTTTAGTCTCTGCATATCTTGTCCCTCTCATTGGCTATATGGTGCTCACTGGGTGGCTGAACGTGTGACCACTTCACAATTTCATTCGAGGGTTGCTCGTATTTTGGTTCCGTCAAGTTTCATCCAACGCTCATCATGGTCTCGCAAGGTACTATGTACTTTGACCGCTCATCGTAACGCCCTGTATACCTACTGTACTGAGCCGCTGACGTGTCATTGTGGCTGCCTTACAACTGCCTCACTGTGTTCTAATGTGCTAACCTGACCCCGGAAAAACAATTCGTTGGGCTGATTGCCACTGTCTGTCCAGTACGGTCCTAGTTACATACCCTTCAAATAGCAAACCAAGCAGCGCACCAAATGTGGTGTCATATACTCTGCATATGGAAGAGTACTCTAGAATTTCGGCGATAGAGACGAGTCGGGAGGTAGACCACAAGCCGTCTGCGGCTCATAAATGCCTGATGATTGGTGATAGCTGTGCTTCACACCCCTGTGCGCAGCCGCTGATATATACGATCCAGGCTTTTACAGAGAGGTCACTGGCCAGTAAAGTAAACAGGCTGTAAGCATAAGTCGAGGTGACAAAAAGAAGCAAATCTGGGGCGGGAGCGGGGGCGGAAAGTTAGTACTGTTGTCCAGTTAGGCTGACGAATCACGCAAGCCCGCAGGGTGGCAGTGTTACAGGGTTGAGAGATACAAAAAGGGGCGCAAGCCGCAGGGTCGCAGTGTGATAGGATGACCCTGGTAGTGTGTTTTTCACGACCACGATAGGCCGCTAGATGTCATTTTGGTAATGGTAATTGCTCTTTCATAAAAGTCTGATTCATTCAAAGATAGAGGCAAAAAGCTGTTTAACAAAGGTTACTGCTTTGGTAAGCAGGCTAATTACTAATTGCCAAGTATTAACTAACTAGGCAATGTATCCGACTAGTAACAGTGACTTTGTCGCGACAGTGTTAGTAGTAACCGGCTCCACAAAAAAACTGACCCTTTTTTGGGACCCTACTACTGGAGGCACAGGATGGGGATACTCGCAGAGAGACTGAAGATAGTGGTGACATGAAGATGCTATGGAGAGAAGCTATCTACATGGCAGGCACGGTGGGCACTAGCTGACTCAGCAACCTGGGGGCCTGAGCCCTTAGGCCTCAGTAATTGCTAGGACATCCTAAAGAAATTTTAATGATCTAATATTTCATGTGAGCTAATAAGAAAATGTCCTCTTTGCTAATGTACCAAATAAGTAGTTCTAGTTTGGTCAATAGATGAAGCTATCACTTAACGGGGAGAACTCAGAGCAGAAAGTAGAGTCTCCAATTTGAGGTGAGCGGTGCCGGGCTCATAACCTGTTGTTTTATTAAGTGATGCTTCAATGTTCATTTCATTGGGGTATATTGATTGTGTGTTATATTGCATGTGTTATCTAAGATACAAGTTAAGAGAGAGGTAGGTAGATGTATGCACGTGATCCAAGCCTCATTATCTCAGCAACCGGGACCAACACGGCCCATGGGCTGAGTTTTCGCGGGCGGGTTTTAGCGGTGGGCGGGTTTTGGCGAGGCCTAATCTGATCAATAGCTTAAAAGACGGTTGCTAAAAATAGCAGTGACATTCAAAGAAAGCTATTAACCTCCAAGCGGTACTAATTCTGATCTTGCGAGGTGTTTCTATACTTTTTCTATGGTCGTTTTTGGTTTCATCCCACTAACACCTTCTCGGTCTCTTCACTTTACAGGAAAGGGGAAATGGAACTTCAATACTGACTAAGCGGACGCGGCGCCGGGCTGAAATACCCGAAGGTTCATTTTAAATGCAAGCCTTTCTGGGATCGACTTCGCCCCACTGAGCTATCGGGATATGGACTCGAAACAATTCACTGATTGATCGACAAATCGACGGGACTGTAATTTGCGGGACCTGAACTTGACCATCGAAGTCACGATATATACTCATTTCAACACAAATACTCATTCCAAAGCCAAACCTAACATGTCTTATAAGAGAGGAACAAGGACAGTTGCTGATAGAAAGAACAGCAGTTCATTAAGCTACTTGAACGAATAATAGTAACTAATATTATACAAGAGGATACACGAGAGCCAGCTTCCCAAACCCTCGGCCTATATTGGCCAGAATCTTTAACTCCTCTAGAGCATCTTCTGCTTACCCTTGGAATACCTTGATAGAAACTAGTCAAAAACAGGTTCTATAGTATTCAATTACCTATTAAAGGACACTCTATGCCTATTAGTGGTCCTCCTTTCAAGCTAGTATAGTGATAGGATAAGGGAGATTTATAATCTTAAGTGTGATCTCTTTATTCGTGGTAGCTAAAGGTATTATGAAGTGAGGGTCTTTTTAGACTACTACGGAGACTAGAATAGCGTCCTTAGAGGTATATAAAGCTATTATCTACGCTGAACCAAGGCCGCTAAAGCTTCCAACAGTATTAAAGGTATATAAAACACTATTAAAATAGTATTCCTTTAGCACTACCTTGATATCCTTGATCACTAAGAGAGACTTATAACTAAAGCAATGAGTGGTACCAAGTTCGGATAAAAGGGCATATCTTTCCGGTGATACCGAGACAAAGATAGGAAATACTTTACTAGCCTTCGCAAATTAAACAGCGTATATTCCTACACTAGTAGATGCACCCCAGATCAAAAGAGGACTAGCAGTCTTGCTAGCCTGGGTATTCTAGGTTAAATCGCTAGGGAGAGGAAATTTGTAAAATTTGTACAGTGTATCTGCTGTAGTTATAGTAACTACTGTTAAATATGCCGTATAATCGGAAGGAAGATTCTTAGGAACCGAGTAGACCATGTTCTCAGGGCGGACCAAGTAGCTCTGATACGTGCCGTACCCGGCTGGTCGACCTACGCTGGTTGGAGTATACCCAGCCACAGTTTGTCCAACCTTAGAGGCTGAGCCTGGGGGAGCCTTGAGGACTTTTCCAAAGAAATCATAGCCGAGTCGTGTAGGGTATATGCCAAGGTGTGTTGCATGCTTAATCTCTGCCGGGTTCGCACCGGAGAAACGAGTCTTGATAAGGAGCTCTCCGTCGCCTGGTTTAGGGATATTGTCGTCTCTGGAAACACCAAAGGCCATATTCTCGTCAACATGGAGTGAGACATTAAGCAATTTGGAAGTCATTGTTGAGGCATGATCTATGAGAGAAGACGTAGCGATAGCAGAAAGACAAGTAGAAACGGGATCGATATAAAGCAGAAAAAAATCGAAGTCCAGCAGAGGTTGGAAAGTTTATCTTCGAGCAGCTTCTTTTATAATTAGGAAATGTCTTTAGCAAGTCCTCTTTCAAGCATGGTCCCATCCACTATTTGCGGCTATTACAATTGTCTATTTACAGCTTGCCACCACCCCACTGAACGGCCCCACCGGCACACTTTAAAAAAACCCCGCTGACTACAATATGTCCCTCGATAAATCCCTCATACTGGAATGCCGGGGCAATGAAGCCGATGCCTTGCTAGCAGTCACATACTGACCCAATTGACCGCCCGCCAATTGGGTCACCCACACCCAGGCGAACTTTCTTACCCACGCAATCCTTTTTGACTATTTGCCAATACTACAACCCTTTTTACCATTAATTTGAACAATATAACTACCAAAGAGCGTGTAATTGCCGCTTACCAAAAGGCTATATCCTTTGAAAAGCTTAACTTCGCTGCGTTATCACATGAATACCATGTTCCAGTTCAACGCCTACGGGCACTCATAAAAGGCCGATAGCCTATTACTATATCTCGTATATCCCACAGTAGGCTACATAATGCCTAAAAAGCAGTATTATATACCTGGATTAGTCACCTAGATACACTAGGGATTCCACCTACTGCTACACGTATAGAAGTGAGTATAAAAACTATACAACATTGTACTTATATAGATACAGTACCTGTTAATTATAACTAGGTATACTGCTTGATCAAAAAGGCTGTATCTCAACATAACTATTCATAGATTAAGCAGAGGCCAATAGGACGTGATCACTACGATAGTATGGATATTGGTGTTATACAGTCATTTTTTGATCATATTAAACCACTAATTTATGGTTTAAATACTATCCCTATATCTTATATCTATTGTCATAATATAGGACTTTGACGAATACCCTATATTTCCCGGTGAATGATGCCTGCTCCGATTGTGTGATCGATGTGGGGATCCTCTTGACCTGGGCCGAGTCATCTCAATCAGGAATCTTATCCGGTGAGTTCAAGGTAGTTGTCAGCCTTGTAAACCCTCGGTTTGAGTTATTTTCTACCGGCTGAGAACCTTTACACTCCCGCGACTTTGACCAACCCACCTGGCAAATACATCCGTCGGATCGTCTACGATCGGAAGGCTTCGGATATCATGCTCGTCTCTAACATCATCTCTTATTGTGTGATGATAATGGTCCGACATAAAGCGATCTGGTGATTTCACATGCTCGAAGGGAAAATGTAGTTGAGGACTTTGAGAGTTCGCCGTCTCTCGCATGATCGGTTCTAGTAAGGGACAAATGATTATCGCTGGAAAATCGAATTACCAGGTCTTCGGATCAGGTCAAGATGAAATTGTTCTTCTTTTTCGTTGATAGAATAAACCCACATAAGTAAGGTATTCAGGGCAATAATTGTGACGTGAGGTTAGGAAAGAGAAAGTGCTTGTGGTGGCACTCTGTGTGACGTCAACACTGTCAAGCGGTTAGCCACCCGCCCTCAGGCATCCCTGGCCCTCTTTCCTAGATAGCTTCATTTTAGCTTTCTCTCTCTCTCTTCCATCCCATCACCGGCTTTTTGCCGTGTCTAGCTTTCTCGCGGTGTCCTCTGACAAACACGACTCAAGCCACGTGACACAATTTGGACGAAGAAAGTGTCAAAATGGGCAAACCCCCCTGATATCGAGAGCAAACGTATTGATCAAATTTGATTGGACGATATACGAACAGGCACCTAAGTTGCAATTTTTTTAGCCTAGTACACGTATTAGAAGAGTCTCGATTTCGGCGCGTTGTGAAATTTCTAAAATGTTTCCTTCTCGCTCTCTTTCTTTCACCTCCTTGCACATCCCTGAATCGGCTTCTTCACCACCTCGACGACATAGTTGCATCACGAAAAAGCAGATTATCGATCCATTCAATGTAACTTCGATCAAGGATTATACCTAACGAACACAGCGCATACTTTCATCCGCCGCTGAGGCGGGCCAGAAAAAACCACCAAAGAAGGCCCGTTCATCATCCAAACCTAAGAAATTTGTCAAAGATGTTGGAACTTGCTCGATGCACTAAAAGCAAATTGGAGACTGTGTCAAGGCCGCACTGGCTTCGAACAAGTACGGTCTCAATCGGACAGTTGTAAATACAACTCACGGATCTATTTCTCATCAATTGACCTGAGCTAAGTGAGCTAAAACCTGACAGCTTCATATGGACATGGCCTTCTTCCGCACCTTTTTCGTTGATAATGACAAGCTCAGCAAACCTCTACCAATCACCCCCACAGAGTTTGACGACACTTCACCAGTGGTTGTCGTGAATCCTAGCCATGAATAAGCAGCGGAATTGCTCGGTGTTAGCATGGTTAAGGGCGGGAACAGGTTAAGCACAACGTACTTGGCGGCTATGTGTGTTTTGTTTTATCCCGACCAAGACTTAGCAAATATCTGGTTGTCCGTATAACTTCTGTTCTTTGACTCAAATCTGTTGAGGTAAGAGTCGTTGTATCTTTCGGTGATGAATCTTTTTTACAGGTTTAATGTTTTGTTGGTACGTTAAGCCACCAACTAGGCAAACCAAGCCCACAGAAGATCGGCCACGCTTCACATAGTACTCCGTAGCCGAGGGTGGGAGTATAATTTCGAAGCCTCAAAGCTTGATGCCTCGACATGGATATCATGCGGTTATGTGCCCTCTAGCAGCCGGGCTCGGCCTCTCCCATCAGTCCGCGGGGCGACTTGGACGACTACTCCTGGAATAGGAAGTATTCTCCGGGTAGCTAAGCTTATGCGTCGTACCCTCACCCATGGCTGCGCCACTTCCGACCGCAACGACATCTTGAACATTTCACCATCTCGCACAGCGCAAAATACACAGAGTATACTAAATGTGGACTCTCAATTTCATGTGAGAATAATTGCAAAAAATGCATCAATATCATGATCCATTGTACGGTTCCTATTGATGGCATCGTCGGAGCATACACAGGCAACAGCTTCGCTGTACAAGCTATGATCGCCAGCCTGCTTGGAATCGCCATCTACAGCTCGTTAGAGCTGATAGTGCTCATATTTTCAGTCTTCCGCAACTACCGTGGTCTATACTTCTGGAGTCTACTAGTCTCCACATCCTTGGGCGTTATTCCTGATGCGCTGGGCCTGCTCCTGAAGTACTTTAAGCTCGCGCCGATCTGGATCCCTGTTACGCTATCGACGGCTGGATGGTGTATCATGGTGACAGGCCAGTCGCTTGTTCTTTACTCAAGACTGTATCTGGTTGCGCTCAATACGACAGTGCTGCACTGGGCACTAGGGATGATTATTTTCAACGCGATCGTCTTCCAGATTCCACAGATCATTGCCTCATATGGCGCGGTTTATGACTGCCGTTCTCATTTTCCGCATTTTTTTAACATCTGGGAGAAGGTGCAACTCACTATTTTCTTTTTGCAGGAGATCATCATATCTACTTTGTTTATTGTTCAGACCATTAGGATGCTGAGACTCTATCCCGAGCGCAGTAAGCGCAGGAACAACATTATGTACCAGCTACTTGCGATCAATACGATCATCATTTTGATGGATATTGCGCTGCTGTCGCTAGAGTTCTCGGGTCATTTTATCACGCAGACCGTGTTGAAGTGCTTCTTTTATACAGTCAAGCTCAAGTTGGAACTTGCCGTTTTATCTCGCTTGGTCTCGTTTGTTGGGTCTCGGCCGCAGGTTGAGTAGGCATCGTCGGGGCTCAGCTACCAGCAATCTTGGATGTCAAATTATGTCCGAAATGTATGTTCCCATGTGAGCCTAGCCGTGTACCTGGAAGGTAGCATAAAACTCGAAATCCCAAGGTTGTGAGGAGTCGCAATCACGAAATTTCATGTAATATTTTCTTCGTGGACGACCTCGGGAAAGTAATGAAGATAGAGACAGAAAGTCTGTAGATCATTAGTAGATACCATAATTTGTAGTTCCCAAAACCCTAAATTAAAATGTGATACTCTGAATAATATTTTTAGCTTTTCCGTAGAATTTTCGAACATTCCAAGGTTGGATCTAGATAAGAAACATTTTTCCAACGCAGATGTAATCATATCTTCATGTCTAGAGTCAGTAGATTACAACATACTAGTACTTTTTGTAAGTTTGTGAAATCATTATTTTAATTCAAGAAATGCCTTCATATATTATTCTCTATAGTAATGAAACTCTATATGATAAATCATAATCAAAAATATGACTTTGTTGATCAGATATCAAACTAACCAGCGAGCGGTTAACACCACTGGTACTAGTACAGTATTACGGCTTTGTTAATGGACCCCAGTGTTTGATGTGGGTCTCCAGCGCGGTGTCTGGTGTGGGTCTTCCGTAGTATGTCAGAGTCAGATTCTTCAATGTTCGTTTCTCTGATTGGGTTGGCGTTTTACTAATCAGAACATAAGAGCAAGCTAAAAATCCGTGATGATAGAATTTGCTGCTCTTGGTCTCAGGTATCCGAATACAGTTATGAGTTCGAAGGTGAAGGTATTATTATTCCCTTGGGATGCTGAATCTGCAATCCATCGACGGTCGCTGTATAACCAGAGAGTACAATGCAATTGGGACCATGAAAAAGTCGAAAAAGAATGGAGGGAGCAACAAATTAAGGGTGAGAAATGCATGTACTGGATTGTAAGTCCAACGGATTAACTCCTGCCCGATGAATGAAAAATAAAATGGTTGCTGATTTAGCATATAGGTCCGTCAGTCAGACTTGGGTAATGTGAAAACACCCAATGTGAAAAAGGAAGTGCTTTATGATACGGCACGATCAGTCAACGGGATGACACGCGGTGCATCACAGGTGGCGTTTGTCCCAATCGGTCACATCTCTTTGGATCCCTGGAACAAAGATGCAGAAAGACTTGGTATAGACCTACCTTCTGAAGGGGTGTTTTGGATTAAGAGCTTTTTCATTTTGCAGTCACTTCAAGGTGGAGGGATCGGACGTGCAGCTATGGACGCAGTGGAAGATATGGCAGCTCGAGAGCCACTATGGGCCCAGACTCTCATGCTTGACACAGTTACAAAAACACACCAAACTCGAGAAGATTTTGCTTTGTCTACATACGGCAGCATCCCAAAGGTAAGAAGATACACTCGAAGGACATTCGAACTTTGTATTAAGCCTGCCATTTCTTCACAGATCACAAATGAAGCTTGGTATAGTCGTCGTGGATATGAGCCTGTCATAACTGTGCCGAACTACTATGACGTATGGGATGGAAATGGAAACAGATGGGATATAGAAATTGTTTTTATGAGGAAAGATATTTAATGATTGTTGTTTTTGTAACTTAATTGTGCGTAGGAGTAGCAAGAAGGTACGGATATGCATAGAAGTGTGTATTGTCTATAGTGTGACCTAGGTGCTCTATATAGGTGAGGGAATAGTAGATGTCAGGTGACTGAGGTCAGGGCTGACCACTCTACGCACATTAATAAGACTCATACATCCGAATAGACATTTAAGATGAACGAGTAATTATTGAATTAGAAAACCCCCAGGTAGAAGCTTATACGGGGCTATTACACCGAGATTGGCAGTCAATTCAATTTACTGTACACAACACAAAGAAATGAGGGTTCCTGTGAAACCGATTCCTTGTTGATGAGTTTCCCTACATGTCATGCGCCGAAAGGCCTTTGTAGCCTTGCGTGATCTGACCCTTGAAATTGTAAACATTTGTATTATCAGCACCTAATCACAAGGTTCGCACGGCATAGTTAACACGTCTCGTTTAGCCGCACCCAGATCTTCCATGCAGAATTTACTGCTTCGCATGGAACTAAGTCTTATATCGAACAGACATTACTTCTTGATGGTTTGTAATATTTATCTTGAGATTGACCAGGGAGTGGTATTTATTTGGTACCCCTTTTGGCTGGTATTCGAGGTTGTCAATTTTGGTACGGTGGGTTGTGAGTCTTTCGAGGGGTAGGGGAGCATGTGAACATTCACGATCTCGTATCTTAAAGGAGGTTTCTTTGAGCGGTCGGAATAGTTCGAACTCGATATGATATAATAAGGAAAACTTGAAGTCTATTTCCAACCAGCTTGCCCAGGTAACCCTGTGTATAGTTACATACTAGTAATTTAGAAAGAATTCCGGTCTTTTTCCAAGGTTGCTTGGTTCCGATCTGTACCACCGTGTTAGAAGTTGCTAATCTGTATATGTTTTTCTGGACTTTTTCCTTCGTAGAGCATGGTATACCCAGGTGGGCTGTCAACCTTGGAATACCTAGTACTGGATACCATTGAGAATAGAACCTTGGAATCCCTTAATATAACCTCCTAGATATAAAAGATTGTTGAGATCATATTGAGTTGTCATTTATCATATTTAGTATATGTTTTGTGGGTGGCCCGCTCGGTCGTGAAAAAAGCTATGCGGTATTCGATTTAGCTAGCTCTTACTAATTTGAATAATTTTATTTCCAGTCAGTTCATAGATGCCCCTGGACCCTGCGCGTCATAGTAAGCCCCAGACATACGCACAGCTCGTGCAAGACAATAATTAAATTACCATCCGGCATCCATGAATATAAGTAAGGTACAAAAATATTGTATATCAAATGTTGCTTTTTTGGGCACCGACCCCGACAATTTCCTGGCGCTTCTTCTTCCACTATCACACTTGTGAGTCGGTTGCTTCCACCGATTGTGCCTCGGGATCTGCTGTAAATCCTTCGTGTTCGTTGATCATCAAATCAGCCCTGATATTCAATTAGTAGCCTCCGGCAATCAAGTGAAATTCATCATAATAAGGACTATTATTACCTGCTCGTGCTTTCCCATAGAAGAGCTTTGAGATTCCTAAGCCTTAGCTCCCGCATGTATCGTTGCTGATCGATTGACGGTGACCATTGGGGATTGCGCGCAATGGAATAATGACCAAACATAGCCGCCGCGAGCGAAACAGATGAAAGGCAACAAACAAGCACTATCACGATCACAGCAGCATTGGTAAGAGCCATTGGGCTAACGGTTGAAAACTTGGTGTCGTGAAAATAACTAGATCTCCAAATGGCGATGTACGGTCTTTGTGGGTGCGAAGAACGATAACGTAGCTTTGAAGTTGCAGGAATCAAATTTATTCTACAATTTTAGTTACACACATACTACTAGCCAATTATGAACTGTGATTCTTCTTGTTTCCCTAAATTGTGTTAAATGAAACTTGTTAAATTTACGATTAGCTTGAGGCTGAGATGGGAAATGCTACAAATAGCCCGACGGATTCGGGTAAAGGACCCACAGGTCGCTTTCGTATTCGGATTGCTCGGTTTACCATCGTACCAAGAGAATAGACGACCACTAGTCAGTATGGGGATAAAAACGATCAAACTCTCTGACAATGTATCTAGCTAAAAATAAAGCTTAGCATTTGTTTCTCCTTTAGTGCGAAATTCAAAGTTTTTTGGGGGGCAGACGAAAATTCTGTGGTCACCTCCTTCAGCCCCGGAGCCACCTGCCCACATAAAACCGGCTGATTGTTGATCCCGCAACCATTGTATACCTGGTGGGCATAATTTCCAAGGTTTTCCATGCATGATATAACATGGCATTTCCCACAATTTCTAGGCCCACGACGCCTTCTTCAATTTCATCTCATTTCTCTTCCATTTCTCACCCCCAGGGCTTTCTTTCTCCATTTTCTGCTTTCCGGATTCTATCGAGCTCAATACATCATTTACAATGGGCTACACTCTGTATAACTATACGCCATCGCTGGCCGCTGCGGTGATTTTTATCATTCTATTCTTCACCCTCACACTTGGACATTTATTCCTTGCCTGCAAACATAAACTAAAGTTCTTGGTTGCTTTTATCGTGGGAGGCTTCTTTGAATCAATTGGCTATGCTGCGCGAGCTGTTAATGCACATTCAGCACCGAACTACACAACCATGGCATATGCAATGCAAAGCTTGTTCATTCTCCTCGGCCCATCACTGTTTGCAGCATCAATCTATATGATTCTTGGTCGTATCATTCGCTTAACCGATGGAGACAGCCGATCTATGGTTCGCGGAAGCAAGTTAACCAAGATCTTTGTCTCGGGCGATGTATTGTCATTTGTGATCCAGAGCGGTGGTTAGTATCCTATTCCCGACTGCATCATAATACAATTCGATGTGACTAATCCGATCTAGGTGGTGCAGTTATGTCAAGCGCTAAGACGGGTAGCAAACTGAAGCTCGGGGAAAATGTCATCGTCGTGGGACTTATTGTCCAAATCATCTTCTTCGGCTTCTTTGTTTTTGTCTCGATTTTTTTCCACAAACGGATGTCAAGCAGCCCCACCTCCGCTGTGGTGACCGTTTCATTCAACTGGGATCGTTACATGAAGGTTTTGTACTTCGCCAGTATTTTGATCATAGTACGTTGCCTCTACCGAGTCATTGAGTACATCCAAGGATCAACTGGCTTTTTGCAAAGCCATGAGTACTTTGCTTATATCTTTGATGCAACGCTGATGGTTTCTGTCATGGCTACCTTTATACTGTTCCATCCAAGCCAGATTTTCGCCGGTCGGCATAAGGAACTGGATGAAACAGAATTGATCTACGGGCGGCAAGGTTATGGGCGGGAAGTTTAATCCTATTGGCCACCTGGCCAACGACCCTACCTAGGTATTATCCAATTTCTTTCGAAGGATGAGTAAAAATCAACTTTCCGCCATATCTAGGTATATAGCTAGAGGTCACATATACTAGTACTTCAAGTTTCATGAATCATATTCTACTAGTAGTATTCTTATTGAGAGCAACTCGCATTATTATGGCTTCTTCTCTCAATTCAATAGACAGGCATTATTCTTGATCTGACCGCGATCCCTGGGCTGTGAAAACCCTCGGATTTCGAAACAAAGGATCGCTCCATTGAATAACTGCCTAGTGAAAAATGGGAATCGCACGCTGGCTGTCTGCGTGAGCAGACGGGTCGATCGCAGGGAACAAAACCACTACACCCGTAGGGTGCTTGAACTGATCAAGGAGTAGTATTCACCAGGCAGATAGGCTTGTTCCTAGTACTGAACTAATAAAGCTTCATCTCATGGTGGATCAGATAGCGGCTACTGTACGAAGCAGGGGTTGATTCATGAATAGGAAATATCGGTTAATTCTCAAAAGTAGAACTGCGCGCGCTACATATCTCACCATCAGAATGGACATCTTGTTGTGGACATCTTGTTACTGAGGCACCACGTCACGGGATCTCTGCTTGTTGAAGAGCGAGAATCCCCATTACACTAGGTACCTACAAGGTACTAGTAGTGATATGTTTAGTTTAAACGTTCAAGTTGGAAGTTGGGCCTGTCGGGCATGTTTGGATCTACACTACGAAATCCAGGGCTCATAACACAATACAGTACAATGGAAGCTGAGTTTGTGATACTTCAAAGGTCTGGCTCGCTGTGCACTTAGACATGTCGTCAAACCATTAGGTAGGCGTTAGTGCCTCTTCGTGTTCTTAATTGCCACGAGAATGTATACTTCTATCGAAATTTCCAACATTTGTATTTGTATTGATGTTTACGGTTAATCGCACACATGGTTTCCAACTTGAAGGCTGGGACAGCTAATAAATACATCACAGTACAGGTTCAAGTTCAAGTTGTTGACATAATTCCAAACATGCCTACGTCTACCCTGGGCCATGGTGGTACTTATAAACCAGTATTGGCCATTATTTACGGTGAAGGGATACTAACTTGAACTTATAATGCCTTGGAATCCTACATTTTGGCCCAGTACTAAGGTTTAAATAGCAGTTAGCTAAATGATACAATTACTAGAACTGGCCCCATCCTTGGTACTATTATTTCGCAGGGGTGAATAGGAATTGCGAACACGACGGCCAAAAATTCTGAATTCTCTGCCGAGGTCCCTGGTCCCATTTAGCCTACCCTAGGGAGGTACATAGCGATAGACTCTACTAGTACTCCGGTAATGTGGGTTGATGACTACTATATGCATCTCGCGTCAGGTTTTTGATACAGAAGCATCCTGTAGGACGCTACTGTCTGGAAGGAGCCGGATGGCTAGGCAATATGAAGGTGTCCATGAAGAACTATGGAAGAGCTAGCTAAGAATATGGGCGAGTCACCTGACTCTCCCCACACATCCTGGCTAATAACAAATACCGTTGGTTCCCGTCAACTACAAGCAAAGAAGTGTCCTGTCTTCTCATTCCAGGGTTATCACTACTGCCATAGGCTCCTCCGCCCGTGCAACTATACCATCTACCTATATACACTTAGTCTAGTGGCTGCGGTGGTATTTGTTGTATTATGCTTCTTGGCCACTGCATTCCACTTCTGTTAGCGGATTTAAAACCACGCCAAGTGGTTGAACTCACTTTTTGCTTGAGGCATGTGAAAAGACACATCATCCATTTTTGTACATTCACTCCTTCTGGGATGTAGTTAACCGATATCTAGTTCAACTCCTAGGATACAGATCTCGTCCTAATTCTGTTTTCATCCAACATCGACTACCATTTGCTAGTATGCGCCTCAGACAGCGCTGGAGTCTTAGTACTGCCTGTTTACTCTCACTCTCTACTAGTCCTACTAATAGCACACAGTTTCAATATATTTGGTTCTTGAAAAATCGATCACTTTTATACGAGGTCAACACATCAGGTAACCAGGTATGTAGCTGTTCAGTAGATGACAAACCTTGAAAGCATTATTTCGGGCAGATAACGTTCTCCAGGGCTCTCTTTATCCTCCAGGGTCTGGAGCAGGGTCTGGAGGCGGTGTTATAGCCAGTGCATGCGCCAACCTTCTTATGGTAGGACAATGCCACATCATCTTTGCGGGTCTGTGAATTCAGCTTTTCTTCTTTGGTACTTTCCTTGTCACCTCGATCTGCTACCACTTTAAGATCACTCCATTCTATACCCAAGAGGCCCTCGATTCAATCAAAAACGCGGGAATATTCCGTCGGCAAGGACTGGCGGGTCTATTGTTAGTGTCCAGGGTCTTGATCCTGATTCGATCTATTAAAGTGTATCAGGCGCATCATCGAGCTCCAAAGATTCCAAGATTGTTCAAGGCAACAGTGGCATGTCATCATTGAAGAGGTAAGCTCAAGTTATTTGAGTCCAGAGCTTCAACCTGCGAGTGGTAATGCCGTCTTGGAGGTTTCCTGGCTAACCTTGAAACGTGAACTTAAAATGTGCCTTGATATTTATAGTTTCATAGTTAATACCTAGTTAGTGCCGAGGTAGGTAATGGATCGCACTTTACCTAATATTACGGTTATAGCAATAGCTGTTCTTCTAATTTCGTTCTTCAAAATGAACCTTGGAAGTAGATAGCAGACACTACTCGAATAAGTGAGCCGGGGGTAGAACTTATTTTCAAGTATAACGCCCAATGTATGGATGTCCGTAGATCATATGGTTACCTACAACTGGATTAATGAGTACCCCATACTAATTGCACGCGACTCCCCCAGTCAATGTTCTAACATAATGTACAGCGTGATGGGACCAAAAGGGTATTGATTTCCAGGGGCGGCCTAATCAATTATTTTCTAGTAATACGAAAGTCACTCTAGTAATACGAAAGTCACTGTGTAGCTTTGCCGAATAATTTATGAAGTTCATGGATACCTATCTCTTGTTGATAAAATTCATATCTTGGACTTAGGAATTTCCAGGTATATGAGAAATATTATAAATGATACTACCTAGTGTAGTGGGGATTTCGATCTCAACATCGGAGTCAGGTGACTGGGGCCTTAGCAACAAGGCTGCAATTTAGTTTCGAGGAAATAAGTAGCGTTCGTTCCCTAGTATCAATATCAACATGCATGTTCCCTTTTTCGAAATGTTCTACTGAGGCTGCTGAGGTTGCGGTATCGATATACTGCCCATGAGAGGTTCTGTCATTCGTTCGATTGTTCCTCTATAGCGTCACGCTCCGTCTACTACTCTCCTGCACTCTGCGAGTGTGGTGGTTTTGTCCCCTTGTGATCGACCCGTCTGCTTGACAGACAGCCAGCGAGCATTTCCATCTTTCACTAAGTACTTTCCAAGTTTAGATATTGAGCTGTGATTTATTGACTTACCTATTGTGTTTGAGCCCTGGTGGCTCGCATGTAAAAAGCGTGAGTATTACTTTGTTCCCTGACTAACCTCTTTTTTCAACCCACTCAAATCTGTGGGATCTACTAACCTCAAGGTTTTACGGTATATTTTCAATTTCCTTTGCAGTCTATGTTACGTTGCAATATGGTAGTTAAAAGAATCAAACAAAAACATGGACTTTTAGAAAAATTTACATTCCCCTAGGTAAAGATCCAAAGTTGTTGATAGGTACCGTATCTCAAGGGTGGGTGGAAGCATGGGTCATCCGAGTCCAGTCTCACGTAGATAGTGCCTCCGATCCATAATCCCAAAAACTGCAGGACAAGATAAATCCATGGATCTCAACTTGAACGAGGCGAACAAATCAAAGACTCAACGGTCAACTAGCCATACTGGTGATCACCACTCAAGTTTTGACATCCAGATGAAGCCGTCATGAGTTGATTTGGTACCGACGGGTCCGTACAATTGATTCCGTAAGTTAAACAAGCCCCGCCATGCATTTCCCAAGAATATATTGGTAGCAGCATAATATTTTTGCAAGCCTCGACGGCGTTGACGCCACCTTCCCTAAAGAATTTGCAATACACTCCACTACCTGTATAATCGGACTCAATGCCACCAATCAAGTTGAGACACTTTTTCGGGTCTTCAGCGTTATTTCCTTCCACTAAATATTAGTCTCCCTTGCAATCATTTTTGTTGTACAGCCTTATATAACATGAGGTGTCTTCTCTCTTCGCATTTTTGATTCTGGGGTTTTTTCAATACCATATTCTTTGACGCTATTTCCACTCTCAAGGGGGCTAATGAAACCTCTCAGATCTAGGCTTTGAGATGATGGTGTTTTTTTGCGGTCTTGGGGGACAGCTTCAGTCAAGAAGACGAGCAGAAGCCTGCATAAGACGGGATTGAGAATGTTCTTGAACCTCATTTCTTTGAAATTATAGCAGATCTTGAGCCAGTTAGGTTTGCTCCATGTCGGTGAACACTTTCTATTATGTATCTAGGGCGTCACTACTCAGGAGCTTCGTGGCCCCGGGGCCCGGTTAATCAAAGGAGTAATGTCCTCCTTGAAGTTTGAAATCGAAACACGACAGGGGGTGGAGCCTGGAATATCTCCTGTGGTTTTCATTATGTTCTGTAACATGGCGCTCTATCTTTGTGAAGAAGTATGCTTAGACAAGAATAGATCCGAATTCTGTCAAGGCATCTTGTAGAAAATAGAATCTACGTGTCTTCATCAGGGACCGAAAACTCCCCTCCTCTGGACTCTTTCCAAGATTTCAAATTTGAAGATCCATGGATAACTCCCGGTACGCGTATGGGCAATGAGAGCGAAAACGTATCTTCCAACGTGAGGTTTCTCGACCTTTCGCTTGCTTTGAACGCCCTGGTACATACAATGAATCAAGTTGACACAATGATTCCGCAGCTGGCGATGGGAATTTTTACTGGTAAAACGTTAGCCTCCTCTAACTGCGGCTCTGAAACATT